AACAAAAAAAAAAAGAACAAACGGAATTTTGCCATTGTTCGTCACTAATCTTTCCTTTTTTTTCCCCGTTCTCCTCCCGATCGTGAATGTATACGAGCGCTGAATCCGGTCAGTTGCAGTCACTTGTCTTCTTTTTCCTCCTTCTCCCTTTCGTCTCCATTCTTCTTTTTTTTCTGGTGGCTGAACCGGGTGCAATTTGATATGTACACAAGCTGCAAATCCGGTCCGATACAGGCACATTACTATGCGCTATGCGGCACGGTGCAGTTTGAATGTACACAAGCTATACATCCGGCCCGATACAGTTTCATTACTATGCGGCACGGTGCAGTTTGAATGCACACAAGCTGTAAATGCGGCCCGATACAGTTTCATTCTCCTATGCGCCACGTTGCCGAATCGGGTGCGCGGAGTGGGCTTAATTCGGATTAGAGTGAATTAATAATCTGCCTCGTGATAATGCCACGTCAGCCTTCTGTAGCTCTCTCCGCTGCCACGTGGCGCATGCCCCCACCTCTATAATTTACACTCCCAGCCACCAACTCCCCGTCTTCCCCCAAATAAAACTACCGGTCATTATCGCTGTACCTCGACTGAAAGTCGGCCCAGATACATCTATAATGACCGATGCCTCAAGTACAGCTAAATGTCGACATGTGGCGCTCTCTTCATTTAAAAAAAAAAAAATTCTTCCAAACGCGCACACGCATTTACACAAAACAGGCTTAGCGCACAGTCACACTGACACTTTCGTAAATGTATCTGACCACAATTACGGACGGACCTGAATGAATCTGATCGCGATTACGTACAGAGCTTAGTAGAAAAGGTTCTAGTGTGAGTATGGCCTTACACACTCTTCCACACACACATACTCTTCCACACACACACACACTCTTCCACACACACACACACACACGCACGCGCGTACAGACAACTATACTGATGCAAATACTTTTTTTTTGTCGGGGTTCAACCTCCTGATGAGTCAGTGAAAGTCCGACGAAACAGTCTGGCACAGTCGTGTGCTTTTTTCTGGAGGTGCGTACTATATAGTGAACATAACAAAACACAGACGCACACACACACATACACACACACACACAGAGAGA